CGGCTGCGCGGAGCTGCAACCCCTTGGAATCGAGAAAACAGGTCGCAAAGGTACTGCATCTCGATTTTTGCGATGCCCGGCCGCCCGCGCGGGCGGCCCCCGGTGTTTGTTCACCGGGAAGGGGAAGCCGGTATATTGAGGAATTTAGTGAACATTACCCTCCACTGGCAATTATCTAGTTGCAGTTCAAGTAAATAGGCTGGAATATGAGAAACCCCTGGATCACTTAGCTTCTGACAACATGCGGATCGTCCTGGTTTTGGCGGTCTTCTCGGTCCCCGTCTTGGTCTCCCGCGTCCTGAGTGTGACCCAGGACAGTGCTACCTTCGGGTGGAAAGCGGGAAAGTAATAATACGCTTGCTGCGAGTAGTGCGATTGCCTGGTTTTCAGATTGGAACAGAGTGTGAGCAGCAATACGCCGCGTGCTCTTAACAGGGAAGGGATTGACTCACCGCATTGGCGAAGAAGGTCAGATGGGGCTTGCCAATCCGGGCCAAAGCCGCAAAAACAAAGCCGAATAAGCCCTGGGTCGACAGCCTGGCGATGTTCTCGACCAGCGTCAGAGCGTTGAGGGCGTCTGCTCTGTTTGAGGCTGAACACATCTCGGTCATGACGCCTTTGGCTGCCGGTGCGGAACCCGAGGCAAAGGGAAGCAAGAAAGCAGCTGCCAAAACGTTAGCACGGTCGAGAGTCAGGCAATCCGGGCCACGCAGAGCTCACCGAAATAGATGTGCCAGCCCTCAGTGGCAAAGTCGGCACACATCGTCAAAATGCCGTCGACAACCAAGCTGATCCGAAGAAAAAAGAGATCAAAGGCAGTCCCCTCGTCCTCTTTAACTTCGGCGGACGCGACCGGCTCTTCCTCCGCGAAGCTGCCAATGGGCGCTTCCAGTTCCTCCGGATTCATTGCAAGATGGCAGCGAGACTGGGTCTCAGCACCCGGAGAAGTCTCTTGTTGCCCCCTTGCCAGGTACCATCTGCGGCCGGTGTTGATGATCCGAGGGAAGAGGAATATTAAAAAGACTGCGCGCATAAAAGCAAAGCCGGACATGAGCCAGCCATTGTCGCCCTGCTGAAACTCAAACACTGCCGTGGCATACATCTGGATCAGCAAGGGGGCGTATCCTGTGGCCAACTACAACAAATCAGCCTCCTCGTGATAGAGCCTTGGGTACAGATGAGACTCACTACGCCCAGGAAGACTCCAGCACATAAGAATAGAACACCGTAATGCTTCTGTACAACGCCGCTTCCTAGCATGACCCTCTGCGGCACAAGCACACGCAGAGGAGAGAAGAACTCGGCAAGGCCCTTGGAGTGTGGCTTGGAGCCGCTCGACAAGGAATCAGCGGCAATGTACGGCATGGACACGCGCACATACAATGTCGAGACGAGAAATGAGTAAAAAGCCACCTCAAAGGGGCGTCGGATGCCCCATGCATCACCGATCATACCTCCGCCTAGACCGTCTTCAGCACAGCGATAGGGTCACGTTGAGAATGGAGAGAACTTACTGAGGTACCCGATCCCCTGTCCCAACATGATGCAACCCTGCAGCATGCCAAAAACGGCTGTGCGTCGCAAAGGCTCAACGACCTCGCCGGCGATAACATTGGCGACCAAACTGTGAACGTTGTCAACATCAGAAACAAGAATGGAAGACAGTGGCCGTTCACTCACATGTACCCAACGGGGCCACCGATGACAGTGATCAACTGGGTGCACTGAAAGATAATGATGCCGGCCTGACCGCCCGCCACGACGCCGAGGACCTGTGTAGCCACCCGGATGGCGGGCACAGAAGTCTGCACCATGAGGGCGGCGCGGGGCCCGAACCGCTTGGCCATCCAGCCGGCGACAAACAGGTTGATGGTGCCGCAGAAGGTGGTGCTCATGCCCAGGATTGAGAACTGCGTCGCGGTTCCGGCGGCAATCTCGTTCCGGCTACACCGGTCGCCTAGGCCTTCGTATGGCGGGTGGTTGCTATAGAAGACGTCGCATTCCATCAGGTGGAAGACGTAGAAGATCCTTCGCGTTTGTGTTTAGGTATTGTCAGCGCTGCTCCCTAGAAAGACTGATGGGTAGATTGCTTACGGGACTTGAGTGAAGCTGAAGGACAGCGTGATGAGAAAGTTAGCAAGGAGAATCCGCTTCTCGACATGCACCTTCAAAGTGTGCTTAAGCCAAGCGGTACTCTGCGGGGACCAAGAGGCGAAGCCATGTTCTTGGCCGGGTCCTTGCGCGGGTGAGAGCCCGGTCTGCCTGTCCTTCCCGTTGGAAACAGCAGTGACAGCACCATTACTTGGCGCACTCGCCCCCGAACCATCCGGGGATGAGACACTGCTAAGGAAGGGAGTACGTTCGCTGGCAACTGACGCCATGTTGTCTGCTGTTTATCGGGATCCTTGGCCCCGGGGTTTGCTCCAGTCTCGCAACTGTCGTAGACATGCGCCAATTCAAGGCTTCGAAAAGTGTTAAAAATTGAAAGAGAGCTCTGCTCTGTCGTCACTGACCACTGGAGATTTTGGCTGCGGGGTTGGTGGAACTGTGGGCCCCGTCCCGTCTCCGGCTCGGGAACGGCCGAGATCCGGCGAGTCGCCGAACCGGCCAAGACCGGACGTTCGGGGTGCCGGGGCCGTCGCCCTAGTGTGTAAGTTCATATCCAACTTATCTCTGAGTGACCCATCAATCATCGGGGATCTCCACGAACAGCACGGACGGTTTACCTTGACCGACGATAAAGTTTAGACGCCATCTAGAGCAAATATGAACATACACCATTGAGGCTGGAGGGGAACCTCGGTCCTCCCTTCTCATTGCCAAAGCCGTGGCTTAAACTGTGCAGTAACTACTATACTTCACCGTTCCTGGGACAGAGACGCGATGGGTGAGATGGTTGTACTGTGCAGCATGCAGCCCTGCCATAGTGCAACTTTTCTGGTCAGCCCTCCCTTATCATCGGCCGTCGTAGCCACTTGCATGTTTCAAGCTGTCCAACAATGGGGCGAGGGGCAAGCATTCAGGGAGCCGGGGCGCTAGATGTAGTTTCATATCTCATTTAGAAAAGTGGATATTTGCTTGAACTGCAGAACTCGTTCAAATTCAACGACGACATGAGTCAACATAGTCAAGAGTGCATTACCTTGCTTCTGACTTCCGTGGGGAATCCAATATGGCTGCACCTTCCACCCTGTTCGATGCTGTGATGACCACTCGGAGCAGCGCAGAAGCTCGCATTGGGTTGCAGCAATCCGAGACGGATGGCTCCGGCATCATTCTGGCAAACCCCCAATCTCCGAGGCTTCCAGACACACCAGACTCGGAACCGCCGCCAGCTTATTCAGATCCTTTCGAAGTCCGCAGTAAGGAGCGAGATGGCCACGAGAACATTAGGGCCGGACTGGCAGAGAAAGTAGCGACCATGACCATTATGCAGATTCTGGTGTTGCTGGCCGACGATGGGACTTGATTCGGTGTTGGGGATTCCAAAAAGCCAGTTGGCATGGCTGTTGTTCCGAGTTGGCATAACTATCGTTTTGCCCCATATTGAGCACAACGCTGTTGTGGGATTTTGGCACGGGCGGGGGAATGGCAAGCCCGAACCGGCACGAGAGGTTCGGTTCTTAATAAATGGCATCCACGTGATGACAGCCAGCAGAGCCAGGGGGTGGCACAGCCTTCAGAGAATTGGGTCGTTTGCCGTCATGGTTGCAAGGTTTGTTGGCTTCATAGCCTCACTGTGCCTCTAGTCCTTCATTCAATGGTTTCAGGGTTTGCCGCACCGTGATCTTGGCTTTGCCTGCAGAACTCGGGGAATTTGACCTTTTGAATCTGGCGGTGGAGGCTTGATGAGTTCTGGTATGGATATTGAGCCTAAGGAGTTCGGTTCTCGTGAACCTGATATTCGGATTAAGACATGGATGTAGTTAGACTCCGCTACATTTTACGACTAGTCCGCAATATCAAGCTACCAGTCGAAACAGGTAAGAGAAGTGACACAAGTGGGTATCACCTCACAGCTTCCTGCACAGCCGCGTCCCATCCTCAATCACCTCCCACTTCTCGGTGCCGGGAGTGGATATGGCGTAAAGGACACCAAGAGGATCCCACTTGTACCGCAAAGCACGGAGCTTGGGATACTCGGAGCCCCAGAAGTGGCTCTGCCAATCTTTCTGGTAGGGGTCGGCCTGTGTCGATATCATACATTAATAACTTGAAAGCCGACCACCACAGTGACAGAATGCAATAACTGCTTACCTCATTGACGTAGGTGCACCCACTAGTGCTGGCCTTGCGCAGGGCCTCGTCCATGGTGTTGGTCAAAAGATTCTGGAGGTCCACCTTCTGGGCCAGGGACGAGCCGACGGGCACGACCAGGGCGCTGATGATGAAGTCGGTCGCGTTCCGCCAGGCCGGATGCGTCGCGCTGTTGCTCGCGGGGGCTCCATAGCCCGGGTTGAACAGGTGGCCAATCATGAAGCCGAACGCGTCGGGTCGTGGGGCCAGGACGGTTTTGAAGGCCTCGATGATGCCGTCGTTGTTGGTCGCCACGTCCTGGTGGTTGAACATCCAGCCGCCCGTGAGGGCAGAGGATCCCGCGGCCTCTGCCTCGAAAAGGTCGACGTACAGGTCGTAGAAGGTGGGGAAATCCTTGATGGTAAAGTCGAATGGCACCCCCTTGGCGGTAAGTTCATCCAAGAAGGGCTGGACGACAGTCTGCAGCTCGGCCTTGGTCTTGCCGATGCCCACAAACGGGCGTGCGCGGAACGTGAAGGGCAGAAGCTCAAAGTAGACGTAGAGGCCGTTGTCGACGAAGTGGTTGGACCACTTGTGGAACGTCTCGGTTCCGTTCCACCACACATTGGAGTCGGTGGTGTGTGTGGTGTTGATGTAGAGCGTGGCACCAGCCGATGGGACGTCCGGAAAGGTCTTCATGGTGACCGAAAGAATGACGGCAAACGAGGCCGGACCACCGCCCTTGAGAGCCCAGAAAAGGTCGGGGTTCTGGCGCTCGTTGGCCGTCACATACTGGCCCGAGGCAGTGATGGCCTCGAAAGCGAGGACATTGTCGGCCGCTATTCCAGTGATCTGTCAGCACTCCAAATCTCGCACAGGAATCATCAATACTCACAGAGCCCCTTGAGCGTGGTCCACGGGCCGTGACCGCCACCCTGGATAAAGCCGCCGGCAATGCCGACGGTAGGACACTCGCCGGTGACGACCACAAGAGGGGGATTCCGGGCGTGGCCCTGAGACAGGATGGTCAGACCCTGGACGCCGGCACCAATGGTGACTGCCGAGCCCTTGTAGCTCCCAGGCCCGCGGTACGAGTCGATCCACTCAATTTTCTGGAAGCTGTGCGTGTTGATGACCAGCGAGCCGTAGCCCACGCTGCGGCCGATGAAGTCGTGGCCCGTGTTGCGGACGATCAGCCGGAGGTTGTTGCGCCGGGCAAAGTCGATGCCCGCCTTGACATGCTGCGGCTTGGTGGCCATGATCACGTAGACTCCATAGTAACCCAGCGTGCAGCTGTCGGCGGGATTCTGCGTCGGCCGGCAAGTGTCGTTGGTGAAGTAGGTCCAGAGCGCTGCGGCAGGCTGGCTCACGCTGAGGGGAAAAGGGTGTCAGCACTCAATGTCTGATACGTACCTAAGCAGCGCAGCAACCTACGTCCATGACTCGCTCTCCCAATTCTGGGTGACCTCGGCACACTTGGCCGCATCATACGTGTTCACCGTCCCCAGCGGGCCGGTGAAAGTGTTGTGACAGGCGGCCCCTGGCGGGATGTGGACTTGAAGCCGCCCATCAACCGTGGCATTGAGGCTCTTCCACTTGGACGCCGACGGCCAGCATGACTCGCCCGGGTAGCACTTGCAGCCGTAGTTGATCCCCTTCGAAATCACTGTCGAGACGCCCGCGGCATCTGAGAAGTCCAAGGCATCCACGTTGACCGAGGCTGACACGTCTTCTGCCTGACTCCTCACAGTGATCTGTGCCAGCGCCGCCGGAAGAATGCTGACGACACAGGCCAGCCTCACCAGAGAGAAGGCCATGGTGACCAGAGAAAGCCGGAAGACGCGGATGGAGCGTGGAGAGAGGAAAAAGAAGGCTGGGTTCGACTGGCTTCGATCGAGGCGGAAGCAGGAAGGGCCGCCCCTTGAAATACGTTATGCGTCTTTCTCTCATCGCCAGATGCCCGCTGACGACCACGGGTCATAATTACCAGAGTAGGGCAAATACAGCGGAGCTAATGCAGCAGCTTGTTCGGCAGGACGGAATTCGGAAGAACAACCCTTGCCATGTTGGGTCTACTAGCCAACTGCATTCTTAGTGTCCCTGCCAAGGCGAGCCGTGTTGCAACCCGGCGACCCGGACCCCCCGCAGCAGGCTCCGTTCGCTCCCGTTGGTGACCTGACGCTTACATTGTCGTACTCTAGATCTGCTGCAGCGAGCCATTGGTTGCCAAGCTTGACCATCTTCCTAACCGGTAAGCGAGCATCGCGAGGTGTTTTCCAGAAGCAGCCTGGGCCTCCAGTGCAGGACCTGAACGCAACAACAGACAAGGGTTGAGACGCCACCGGAACCAACGACCTATCCGTGCTGAAAAGTCGCGTTAACTCTCTCCATTGCCGAGCTCCAGACTCCCACCCAATCTGCCTCAAACAATATCTAGCTGACTTGCACTGCGACGCTGTCCCCGCTCCCTCCTCCCTTGTATACACATCCACACACCATAGAGCACAAAAACGACAGCAGTCAACGGCGCGGTAACCGCCCAAAACAGTGCAAACTGAGGCCTCGTGGCAACCGCAATCTCCCCACTGGCCAGGGCCTCGTCCCACGCAAACAGGGGTGCCGAGAAGAGCGCCGCGACAAAGCTGCCGGGCAGAAAAAACATGGCGACCAGGGCCAACATCTTCATCGAGGACGAGTCCTGCAGGCTCGACGCGGCAATGCTGCGCGTCGCGCTGGCCGTGTCGAAGGCGATGGCATTATCCTGCTGCGCAATGAGATGGAACAGCGCCGCGATCTGGATCTGCACCCGTTGCTGCACGTAGGCGGTGTCGACGGCCTGCATCTGGACACGGTGCCGGAGGAGGTCGATGTGTGTCTTGGAGAATGGCTCTCCAGGGTTTGTCGACAGGTGAGGTGGCTTTGTTTCGGAGACGCGGGGTTCTCCCTTTTTAGAACCATTCTTTCGGGTCTTTCGTTTGACCTGGAGCGTATGTTGGGCGATGAACTCGTTGATGGCTTCGACGACCTTCATCTTGCGCGTCCCGTTGGCCAGCTTGGCGGCGCATCCGCTCATCTGCGCTGAGAGATGACCCAGTTCGCCAGCCGCGGGCTGTGTCTGGCGCCGCGAGGCAAATCGGTGGTGCCCGGTGCGTGCCTCGACCTCCCTCACGGCCGCCTTGATGTCCGCCAACGTGGTGTCCAGACTGTGGGCGAGCATCAGGCTGCACAGCAAAGCAGGGAACATGGAGTGCTTCGCGGTCGCTGCACTCCACTCGGACCGGAGAATGCGGCGAAGCTCGGCCCGTTCCTCGCCCTCGGCAAAGATGATGGTGTGCGTTTGAGGGCCCGATTCAGAGGAACCCCCCCTGTGAGACCATGCCATGGCCAATTTCGGGTGGTAAGCAACCGTGAAGACTTGGGCATCACCATCTGCAGCCAATGCCGACACTCCAGCAAAACAACCCCGGGTGTAGCTCAGCGCATCCTGGAGCTTCCACGCGTCGGCCAGGCTCTCCAGTATCATCGTTGACGGGCTCAACCGCCGCTGATCGCCGTCTTGGCCCACCCAGACGAGACGAGCTGACCGAGTGTAGGCGCCGGCCGGGAAATGGTGGCGAGGTGGCTCTTCGAGCCAGTTGTCAACGTCCGACGACGAGACAGTTTTAGTCTCGACAAGCGCCGACGGCTGTCTTCCATGACTTTCATCTTCAACCCAAACTTCCGTCACCTCCACCACCGGACACTTGAGTACCTCGTACTTTTCCCAAAGGCTCCGTGTTCCGTAATGCCGGTATAGATCGCCCATTCTGGCAATCAAGCATCTGTTGTCACACCGTGGCAGCGACGGATTGGAAACCTATGGTGATCGGAAGCTGTTAGCTTCCAGGTGTTATGTTCGAGAAGGCCGTGCTGAAGTTGGATACAAGTCAGCTGGATCGCATGCCGCTGAATAACGAGAGTTTCAGTCGTGTCTTCACGCAGTCTGCTTGCTTGTCTCTTCTTAAAAGGACCAGCTGAGACCTAGAGTCCTAGGCAGGCGGTGCACCCCAAGTCCCTTTAGGCTGCGCCTCCTCGAGCAGATAATGCGGGGGGATGACACGCCGGCCAACGTCCACTAGGATTCAGCGCTGCGGAAACCGCAGGGGCTGGAAAGTTGGAAACCCACAGGCAGAGATAAATCAATAAGTAATAATGCGCGAATTTAGTAGCTGGTGGCTAAGTTGACATGTGTAAACTGTCAATATGAAGGCAGACCATTGAGATTGCTCCGCCGCCGCCACATAAACCGAAATGGGCTCGCCGTCGGGCTGGTTGATCCAATTCGTCAACACCCCAGATGGTGCCAATAGCTTTTCTGATCCTTTGAAAAATGCTTCAGCCTGGTGAAGGGTCAGAGTAGGTGGGGTCTTCCTAATTCCCGCCGATCTGACTTGACGCTCCCAGTACCTGCTGCTCTCCTCATTCGGCCAATGCAGCAGCATCAGGCCGGGTGCCAGGAAAATATGAGACTTGAATGGGCGGGGCACTCTGCTGCCGTTTCATAGCGTCCATGTCCACCAGCATGCGGAGGTCGATCTCATGCCATTCCTGTGCCTGCGAGACGTAAACCCACTGCTGCCTCGCTTCGACCCAGTTTCGGCACGGCAGAAAGGCCTCGAGCATGTAATAAAAGTCGCGAGCGTACGGATACTCGACGGTGGGCGGGCCTTTCCGCTGCAGAAAGCTGTCTGTGCCCACCCGCTGGTCCTCGTCGGTGATGTGGAAATGAGGGCGCTGGTCTGTTTTGTTGAGACCGTGGCGACGAATGGACCTCGCGGTCGAGTCGAGATGGGCCTCGAGGAGTCGGGCGTACCACAGTGGGCTGGTCAAAGCATTGATGACGACCCGACGGTGCCTTGCAAGGAGTTCACGGTTCCAGGAAGCATCCATGCCACGGGGAATCGTCGGGATCGGCTCGCCCTTGTCTAGATTGTCCTGCCAATGTGCCAAGTCGACGACGGCACAGAGCGCGTTCCATCGCATCAGGCAAGTAAGACAGGTGCAATGCAGGCTGTTGTCGGGGGGCGGGATGTTCTGGTGCGCGACGACGCGGTGCGATAATAGGAGGTCCGGGCGGTCCGGCTGTTTGAGGAGTGGTTGGATGGCCGAATCGATGGCTTCCATGAGAACCGGACGGAGCAGACATCGCTCAAGGATGGGATAACGAAGGTTGATGATATTCCTTGCGATCCTCGTTTCCTGGTCCATCAAAAAGGCGTGGAGCGTTTTGTTGACTCGTCCGAGGACAAAGATGTCGCTCGGCCGCAGGATTTCCAGGATTTGCAGCAAAAGCTCGATGGGCAAGTCCATAAACCCTCGGAGTTGTGAGTTTGGCGATGGCTTTGAAAGTGCTCGCTTCTCCAGCTTCCTGCGGCGTCGCTCGGTTCGCTTCGAGCGCAATTCCAACGGCTGTGTAACGTCCTGAACTGGCGGAATGTTGCTCGCCCGCTCCGAGTCTTGAACGACCGTTGCCTTTGTCGGTGTCATTCTGGTGATCGTGGTGAAGGAGGGACGAAGCGAGGTTCAATCACTGAGCGCGAAGGTGCCTCGAGTAATCCGTAATCCGTACGGATAAATCCGTACCGTTCCTCCCCTTCCCCACTAAGTGGGCCCATGTTTCACAGCAGGCTAACCATATCGCGCACCAGTAGATCGCAACAGGCGCTTGACGCCAAACACACGTGAATTGACGCAACGGCGCTGCCAAATTCCCACAACAGCGAACAGTTGAACGACGGGAGGTTCCTTCGTACCTGACACTGACGCAAGATGAACACTGCAGTGGCATTGCAGGACAGCATCGCATCACCACTACAATCATGGCGCCTAAGAATTTCCCACAGGAAGGATTTGATGACTCTATCCGAAGAGTTCGAGTTGAAGCACAGATTCCTCCGCATCGTGTAGGTGGTTCTAGGCAGCGACGATGTCACATGGCATGATCAGAGGCACGTCCGCGAATAATACATCTCTTTGCACGAGTATGAGGCTGCTATCCAACCCGTCACGGCACTGTCCTCGATATATTGGGGGATGATATGGAGCTCCGAGCCTCGCTCGACAAAGAGAAGATCATAGCCGATATCGAAAGAGCCGTCGCCCACCTCCATTCCCTGGGTCGGCACACAACGACCTGAATCCCTCTGACGTTGTCATTGGCAACGAGGCAATCCTGATTGACTTTGGTTCTTGTCAATCGCTTGGCAAACAACCGGTGTCGACGGGCACTCCGGGATGGATCGACGAGGACTTCAGCACATCAGCCAGGGAACATGACTTGGTGGCTCTGCGCAAGATCAAGACATAGGTTGAAATAAGGTCTATCAGGGTCCCCCAACGGCTCGCCTCCAATGCCTCTTGACGGACTGCAGAGCAAGACGATTGAGGAGAGAGGCCTTCGTTGATCTGCCACGACCTCCACTGCGCCACTCCGGTCTGCCGCGCTTCCCGGCGGCCTCCGGTCTCAGCTAGGCGAGGGGAGAAGTCGCATCCAGGCCTGCAGTTGAGCACGGCTCTTCATCTTGGAACGGAGTTCACCGTCAAGGTCATGTCTTTCTTTACACAATCGTGCCTTCGATCAGGTATAGATCAGGTTGCAGGTCCAGGTCCGGCAACTTCTCTCGCTTAAGATCAACGAGTATTCGAGTTACGCTTGATGAGCTTCTTAGGCGCAAGTGAGATCTCGTTCCGAAACGAAACGTTGAACGATGGATACAACGGAGGTTGTGCCTGGCCCCCAGCTCAATCACCTTTGCGATACATGTCGATTCAATTTCCCCGCCGACGAGATGGCCATGGATTTCACAGTATGCAGGACGCCTTGATGCAGACTTACTGGAGAATGGCGCAACCCTGCAGCAGCCCTCCTCTGCCGAGGACTTAGCGGAGGCATCTCAAGCTGGATGTCACCTTTGCACCGAGCTTTCACAAGCACTACTCCCGGATAATGCAGTTGTCGGCTTGGGGCAATCAGTATCGCAGAATTGACATTCCAGGTACATATAATACCCTGCCCTCGACGGATGGCTTCTGCAAATTCGGCAACCCAGGGTTGGTTCCCAGGAATTTGACGGTACAAAGGCCTTGCGTATCGATCCCGTCTACCGATCGATAGATGACACAGGCCACCGGGTCTGAAAGCTTGTCAACAACCCCTTTGAGCCACTGACTCGGCTGCATGTCGTCCAGACGCTGTCGTGCACGAACATCAACCCTCAGTCCATCTATCAGCTGAAACAATGGCTTCACGCTTGCACCGAGGAGCATGAAGGGTGCGGAGGGCCTGCTGCGCTAGGACTTCTACCACCGAACTCATTCTTCCGCCTAGTTGATATTGGAACTGACTGGTGCCAATGTCTGAGTCGTTGACGTCTACGCCGCCCAGATCCAGACGAGTTGCAGTACACCACTTTGAGCTATCGGTGGACCGACGAAAACAAGCAGGCAAGTCTTAGAACCGAAAACAGGGAGGAGTTCCAGCAGTCCATGCCGACTACAGCCTGGCCAAAGGCCTATCGAGATGCCCAATCGATTGCACAACAGCTGTGCATTCGCTATCTCTGGATCGACTCCCTCGCATCATCCAGGATCAGGCAGATGACTGTCTTGAGCAAGCGGCGTTGATGGATAATGTATACGGCGGTGGGCTGCTCAACCTTGCCCCCCTTGTGGGACCGGGCCTTGAGGCGTTGCGCAACCCGTTGAGGGTATCAGCCTGCACCCTCACCCTGAAAGCTCCCTCCCCGCATATGTACTCAGGTCCAAAGCCTCAAATTTTCTTTCTTATAGACCAGACGACGTCAGGCAGGCCGTTGGTCATGCTCCGTCTACAAGAGGGGATGATACTTCCAAGAACCCGTGCTTTCTAAGCGGATGGTACACTTTATGCATCAGTTGTTTTGGGAGTGTCCGACCTCACGCGCCTCCCAGACATTCCCAGTGGCGGCTGACTTCTCCTTTGAAACAACCGACGTGACTCCATCGGCGCAAACCTCCACAACATCAGGGCCGCGCTATTAGGACGGAGTAAAAAGGAGAACATACCACGATCACTGGGATGGGAACTGCAGACAGAATCGAGTATATGAAGACTGTTGTCACGGGTCGTGACAGTGTGAGGTTCATGTGCGCAACTCCTGGTTCGACTTGACAGTTCGAACCACGGTCCCTCTTTTGAGGGTGTTACGCAGGGGTCAGTTGCGCCCACCCGAGACAACTGTGGTGTTTTATAGTGCAGTGCTACACCCCCACAGAGCTAACACAGCCCAGCAACAGGCTGATCGCGCTCAAGGGCATCACCAGGAGAATGGTCAGCAGATTCCACCTCTCCTTGGACGATTATCTCGCGGGCCTTTGGAAACCGGGCATCGCAAACTGCTCTGGGCGCGCCAATCGAAAACCTACACGAAGGCGAACCGGGAGCTCGCCAGCCGCCTTGCAAACCGCTTCCTGTCGTGGTCTTGGGCCAGCTGCCCCGGGGGAATGCGCTTTATCGATCTCCATGAACCACGTTTCTCTCCCGGGCCCTTCTTTCAGCTCGGCTGGGTTCAGGACGACGCCGAACGTGCCAGAGATGCATCTTTCCTCGTTCTCCACGGGTGGCCTCGTCGTTGCGAGCTGGTGGAAAATTGGTTGTTGGGACAGAACCGTCATGGAAAAATGAAGACTTTGCTTCAAATGCGATGTGGTGGTGATGGTGTCCCACGACCAGCTACTACGGTTGGCGTCGAAATTGAATTGGACAGGCCTGTTTCGGACATAACTCAAAGAGTGTATCTCATGCCAGCCCTGCCAGTCCTTTACGGGCCTGAGGGCTTGGTTCTCGATGGGACTAACATTGAAATGAAAAGGGCATGGTAGTCTATCATCGCCTTGGCTTCTTTGATTGTATGGATGAGCACTAAGTTGATGGATGTGCTCGTGCCAGGATCTGGGCATTGGTCATTTGACAACATGGAAGAGGTGTACGACACACTTTGAGTGGAATGAAGAGGGGATTGGGGCTGCTTTGATATTCCTTCCTTATTTAGTAGTGCTTGAAGTCAACGAGATATGCCTAGTAATCATTAAGAATACGACTTGAAGCCATCTGCACACTGTTGATTGTCTTAAACATGGCAAGAAACAGCAACATGCTTTAGCCAAAGGCATTTGTTCACAATACCAGTAAGATAATCACGGTACATGTAACCACATGCAGTGAGTATTTGAGTATTTCACGCGACTCACACGTGTGGAGACCTAAGGGCATATCAGGTGTACCTAAGATGTGTCAGGATGTCTAGACTACAATTTTTGACTTCCCAGGCACCATGTACCAGTCCTCTAGTCAGGGGCGCAGCGCTGTCCATCTCTTTGGGACACCAACTTGAGTTATCATCGCCTCGACAAACAAGTTCACTTACCCTATGGTACGCCGCCCCCGATCAGTCCCCCAGGGGTTCACGACACCGAGCCCCTGTCTTCCGCCGGGAGCCACGGCAGTGAGACCGGCCGGGCTAGAAAATGGCTAGTCTCGCCATCCTCACCATTGGAGACATCTTATGGGATTGAGTACCCGCTTCCATTTTGTGGCGGCGACAAAAGAAAGCAACAAGAAGAAAAATCCGATCATCTGCAACCGTCCTATATCTTGCATCACCCCTCTGTATCAGAACTCACCTCACGCCCAACCCCTTCGCGACTCGACGACAAGCAACGGGTGAAGACAGCGAGCTGGGCGTAGAAACAAATCGCGAACAGGGACGCACCAAAGGCGCAGGAAAAGATGGTGGATTCCATGCCTCAGCGGACGTGCTATCGGCTTTGCAACCAAGTGCCGTGGAGGAAGTTCGAGTTCTTGGACGTTGTAAGTAGGCAACCACGTCGCTAGTGGCGGTGTCGATTTAGCTGGCCGCCCACAGCCGCAACAACAACTAAGATGTCAGCAGACGGAGTGGCTGTGCTACGATTCCAATGTCACGTTTTGTGTCGAGGTCCTTTTGGATCGGGGAGCTCGTTCCTGCCGACCTTCCCTCGATCCCCTTCTGCGTGTTTTGCCCAGCGCGGACGATCCAAGAGGTCAGCAACATGAGGGTTGGTGCTTTGAGAGGTAAGCAGGGAAGTCTGCAACTGGCATGCGATGTTAATACGTGGAGCGTAATGAGATCAAGAGGCTGACCGGGGTATGGCGTGTTTGTAGGAGAACTTCAGCGTTGTCGGCTTGCCATGGACGACCCCAACACGGTGGACCGGGCCAAAGAGCAGGTCATAATCCTCGCATGCACCCTTCGGGGTGCCTTCGACGGGTTGAAGGACGTCGGAAGAAGAGTCAGGAAGATGAACAGGAAAGCAATGAGGCAGGCCAGGGGGGAGGACACCGGGGAGACCGCGGCGGAAGAGGCCGAGGAGAACGACGACGGTGATGGGGAAGTTTTGCAGGCGCCGCTCAACACGCTTGCCCAGGTCGAGGCGTTCGTGCGCGACCCTGGGATCTCGCGCATCGTCAGCATCGCCGCAGTCTATCTGCATCTCAACAGGTTCCAAGCCTGCCGAAGCCTGGGTACAATCGAGTTCCTCGAGGATGTGCAGGAGATGGCCTTTTTCGAGGAGTCCTGGCTGACTCCCTGGGTGCCGCCAACCTCCCATGGCCTGAGATTCCTGGACAACGGATACTGTCGCGCCGTACGCAGGGATCACGCGCTCAACGCGCGCGCCCTGCTCATCGCCCTTAACTTCTGCTATCTTGACCTGCTCAGGATGATACCAGCAAACATCGACGACTGCAGCAAATGGACAGAGAGCCCGCAGCTGGTGGAGAAGCAAAAACCAGATCCTGCATGAGCACATGAAAAGCGGCCGGCAGGCACTTGTTACAGAGCTTATCCTGTACCCGTTTAGGGCTGAGAGGTTCCCGAACGCTCCACTCGCCAAAGGCGACGCGGAGCTCGATAATGCGGTTCCCTCCGTCCTTAACTTCCAGCGCAGCGCTGCCAGCCCGCTCGAGCAGGCAACGCGTCCGACGGCAAGGAAGACAGAGCAGGCCGAGACAGGGCAGTCAAGGAAGGATAGCATCGCAGGAGGCGATGGAAAGAGGGAAGAACGCCCATCCAGCTCTGCAGTCCAAGAGCTTCAGGCCAACCAGCCGATCATGTCGACTAGGGTCGGCCAACCTGTCTGTGGCGGCCCCTCTGCGTCTGACAGTGCTTTGGACACTGCCAACGCTATTGCAGGTGATACCGCTCCCACCCAGCTGCCATTGCCAGTAGCGGAGGCCAACCAGCAGGCAGCGGAGGACAGTGCTAAAGTCGAGATAGGGAAGGAAGGGACCGCAATGACCCGCAAGGTGAAGAAGAAGAGGAAGGCCAAGTGGAACAAGGGCTGGACGGAAGCGACTAAGCAGCGTCAACAGGAAGAACAAGTGCCCCTCGCAGAGGTTCCCCCCTCTGACTTAGAGCTGGACATTCCCATCCAAGTTGACGACCCCATCAACGCCGAAGCTCCTAAGGAACAACAAGCCTCAGCACAGGCCCCCGCCGTGTCCGGACAAGTCAAAGCGCCCTTCACAGCCGTACCCCCCTCCAAATTTGAGCTGGACGTTCCCATTCAGCTTACCACCACCACCGATACCGAGACTCCTAAAGAAGAACAAGCCCCAACACCAGGCCCCACTGCGCCCGAACAAGTCTCTGACGAGGAGGAACAAGCGCCCTCTGCAGCGTTTCCCGTCTCTGATTCGGAGACGGAGATTGCAATCCAAGTCACCGCCCCGGTCGATACCGAAGCCTGTGTGGAACAACAACAAGCTCCTATCCCGTCCGAACCATCTCCTGACAAGGCATCCAAAAGCCGATAACGAAAGACGAAGCCATGAAGCAGGAAAAGACGAAGCGCAAAGCCAAGCAACAACGTCGGAAAGAGCGAAAACGCCAGGAAAAGGAAGAAAAAGTCGAGAAGAAGAGGCCGGAGGAGGCAAAGGCTGAACGGCAACGGCAAGAGGGGAGGCGGACACAGGAAGAGGTGGATCAGAAGATTCGGGAGGTCGCCCAACACATCGAGAAATTAATGGACGTGGAAAAGGAAATTCAGGAGAATCAGGCCCTCCTCGGCGAGTTGGGTTCAAAGTCAGACGAAAGCTCGCTATGTTCATGCTGCCGATGCTGCTGTGCAGAGGATGGGCATGCAGAAGATGGTCTGGATGGTCAAGCATTGTATGACCGGCGAAATCGGGAAATCGAGCAACGTAAGGAAAACCAGCGACGCCTGGAAAAAGAGCACAGAGAAAAGCAGGAGCTTTTCCGAAAGTTAAACAAACAGGCAAACGAGGGCCCGCTCACGGAGGCGGAAGAGCGTGCGGCAGACGAATACGACCAGCGGTGTCGCGAGATTGAGAAACAGCTTCGCTTGGAAACGGAGGAGATTCTCCGGCTGTTGGACTTCCAGGCTAACGAGGGCCAGGTTGCGGAGGCGGCAGAGCGTGCGAAAGCATACTATGACCGGCTCGACGCAGAGGCCGGGGAGCGGCTGAGTTTGGCTTCCCAGCTCAAGGAAGCCCAAGACCACCCCGCCGAGGAAGCCGACCCACATCGTACAAGGACCCTGAGCCTCAACGTGTTCGGCATATCCTCCCGCTCGAGTAGTCCGGCCGTGCTGAGGACTCGCGCCACGCTGGACAAGCCCGCATTGCTACCGAAACGCGCCTGGTCAACGAGCCCCCGGCGGGCCCCGGCGGCGCCAGCCGTTCCGGTGAGAGAGACAGCGAGGCCGAGTCAGATTAAGTCCACCATGCCAAACGGCACGCAGCTGCCTGCTCAGAGCAAGGTAAAGGAGATAATCCCATGCCGGCAACCCAAGGTTCGCAACGGGAAAGCAGTTGAGGGTCGGCATGCGGAAGCTGGGATCGCCAAGAAGAGGAAACACAAGGGCAGCGGCAAAGAGCAAACTCAAGGTGCTGGACAGAGTCCCCGTATCCGGCCCCGAACTGTAGCATGCACAGCGGTGGGCGTTCCCCAGTTCCGAGGCCTGAGGCGTACAGTGGTGTTTCCCTTGTTCCCGGGACATCTGACGAAAACGTCCCGCCCTGCCAGCCAACAAGGGACAGCAACAGACCAGCTTGAGCAAGCGAATAGAGTTGATTTGGCCAACAAAGCCGACTGCGTATCCGCCGGATTGGACTCGGGAGAAGACGGTGGTCTCAGCTCGTCGGTTGACTTGGCTACTTCTAAGCCTAGAGATGATTGCAATGGATCAGTCTGCGACACACCGAGCTTGACCGTCAACGGAGACACGTTCTCAGACCCGAAACCGACGGATTCCTGCGGCGCTGACGCGATGGGCCAGCCTGTGCACGCGAACGAAGTTCATGTGACCGACCAAGCCAACAACTGCGGTGCCGACGGGGCAGGCCAGCCAGTGCCGGCGAACGGAGCTCATGTAGGCAACGAAGCTAGCACCAACGAGGCCAGCGCCAACGACTGCAGTGCCGAAGAGGCGAGTCGTGCCAGTGGAGATGAAAAGATACGGGACCAACAAGCCGAGCTGCGCCGACGGCAGCAAGAGTATCTCCAGAGAGTTGAAGACGTGGAAGGCTCATCGCAACGGTGCTTCGCGAGCAACGGTGCGGCGGCTATTCCAGCCCTGCCATCAGGAGGGAACATTAACGACTCCAACGAGGAACCCCTGCAAAGCGGCCGGGACTCTGAGGATCTTGAGGCCCAACGGGTGAATGAGACTCCGCACAGGGTCAAGGGCGACTCGGCCCGTCAATCTGGTGAAACCAGCGAGGAGTGCCGGCAAGAGGTGGCGCAGCAGCCATCCGGCCAGTCGATGATGGTTCCGAACCAGTCCGTTCCAGCTTGTTCGGCGCTCATGTTCCCGGGCGCCGCTGCTCAGGCAATGCCGGTGCCAGGTAAGCTTCCTCTCAATGCCGATTTGGCTGCCCAGCCGCCAATCCATGTCGAGCCGACCATGGGCGTTGGCTTGACTTCAAAGGAGAACAATGCCGACAAGATCCGCCGCCTGGCGTCTCAGAACCGTTCAGGGCCGCGTGTGAATGCCCAGCACCAGGCCAACGGTGACTCCACAAGTCATGCTCAAGGGGTCCTTCAGGCCCAACGAGTAACTGGGACTCAGCGCCAGGTCAACAGAGACTCAGCCTGCCAGATCCGAGGAAGCAGAGAGGGGCGCCGGCAGTGGCACTCCCGTCGGCAGGGTGACGAAGGCTCTGAAAACGGCTTTGAGAACCTTCCAGGCCAACGAGTAAATGGGATGCCCCCCCATGCCAGCATCAGTCAAACTCAGGAGAATTTTCGGAGCCAAGGAGGAAATGGGAGCCAGCCGCAGGCAAACGGAAACTCCGCCAGCCATGCTCGAGAACCCAACGAGACCTTCGGCCGCTTTCCACATCAGGACCAGCCGTATCAGGAACTTATTGACGCTGCCTATGTAATGTCGAGAACGGTTGAACAGACAGGAAGAGCCTTGGACGTGGTTCAGAGGGCCTTCGACGGGGTAGTAAAGGAGTGGGGTACCCTACGGCACGCTCAGGACCGTTTGCTTCAGGCCCGTCAGGCTGCCCAAGCACACCTACAGCCGGTACCAATCCTGGTACAGCTCTCCCAGCAATACGAGCCTCCGCCCGAGCCATGGCCCGAGCCTGTGCCTGAGCCCCAGCTTGAGTCCGGCCAAGTATCACAGCCAGGCGTGCAATCGAAGGGCAATGCCGCACAGCAGTCCTGCGAGTTGCCCTCGCCCCCGAGGCAACCGTTTAGACCACCTGTAAGCCGTGATCCGAGTCATACGTTGTCGTACTTCTTCCTGGAAACTGGCGATTGACCCATGTTTAGCTTCCCTGGCTATCTGTCCCTGAACATCCGTTCCCACGGCGCACTTCGAGGCTGAGGATTGAGCTGGCGCCGCAACAGCCTGTCTCTCGGACGCGGAATTCTCAAGCCTCTCAGCCTCAAGGTCCCCAGGCTGGCGCCGAGCAAGACCCCGCCATTGCTCCAGTGAGCCCATTGAGTCCAGCCATGGCATTTCAGCAGCAGGCAGATGAAGCAACCTTCTTCTCACAGCCTGAACTACTTGCTCAACGGTCGCAGTCGGTTACGACGGTCAGGTTGCCTTCTCGACTCCGCGGGGGGAATGCGGATGAGTTGGAGTCGAGGTCGGGGGCGACGTCCAGGACCATTGGCCGGTCGGCATTGCCATCGCCATCGGCAAGCCCGATAACTCCTGACTCGGTGCATCCTGAGCAGCTCCCGCCGACTGCTGCCATGCCGCGCCCAGTCGAGCCAGCTACAATCCTCGACGCAGACGGAGACGCGCTGGTGCACAGTTATATCGACCAATTCGTCCGCGGATACAGTGTGTTAGATTTCGAGTGGCTGTACAACCGGGTGCAGAACAACCTCGCCCATTCCCGTGCTCTGTCCGTGGATCGTGGCGACTTCATTGTTCCATTCCCGGGCGAGTATCCATCCGATCCGGCGGTGCTCGTCTGGGTGGACCCGGACGGCTCATCTGCCGAGGGACGGAGGACTCAGCGGCACTTCACGATGCCATGATGAGCCAGCGGTATGCGGGTGCATTTCTCAGCGTTTGCTTTCAGTTGCTTGCATCGAGAGAGCGTGGTTGGGCGTCGGGGAAACTTTGGACATCGGCAGGACAGCGAGTCGCAGCAGCGGAGTCAAGGAGAGCATGGTTATTGGGATTATGGTTTGTGACGTAAAAGTAGACAGTAGATGCAACAGAAAAAGGTACCGGTATCGAGAATCCTTGGCTGATGAGCTGATGGTTTATTTTGCGATGCGGGTTGTCAAGTTTCGAGATAAGTGACAAACTTGTGTCGTTGGCTCGGCAAGCCTTGCCGGTGTTCCTACGGCCTAGAACGCCTCAACCGCGAGCGCTAACTGGGCGCGGGGGTTCTAGCTTCAATTAGGTATAGCGTCTACATGCGGGTCATTTTTGACCCACATGGCCCCTTCCCGTCCTCAGCCGTCTTCCCTTGCGAAACCTGAACTGATGAATTGATCGAGCAAGGGCTTTAGCCCTTGCTCAGCTGGCTGTTGATCCCTAAGATTCTCTTGTTTGTCTTGAGAATGGACGGGCATTGCCTCGTCTTGATCTTTCATTTGTATTTTGAGATTGAGACGATGCCCGTTTTTGGTGGGTCCCTCTCTCGGGGTTTTGTTCAGCAGACGGGAGTCAGGGCGGGTGCTGCAGCCGAGAATTCGAAGCTGGCAGAACCTGCATCAACTGAAAACAGTCGGCAAAGGCGTGACGTCTATTATTAGAAGGCTCGCCACAATCGCGAAGACCATTCCCATCTCCTTCTACACATGTTCTATCTTGGTTGAATCTCCGGGTGCATACTCTATTCAGAGTACGGTAGTTATTTGTCGAGTCCCGAACCGAGACAGGCCGCCCGCAGCACCTGCGAGGCCTGAACATGCGGGGCACTGCATGCGATCCCTGCGAGTTGCACCATGATGCAGCAGATGCCGAGTGTCCTCCCAGTGCAGTTGTTGGCAAGGCAGTTGGGTTCAGGGCGACCGAACCAAGTTTTGATGAATGTCGAAGCTTGCTCTCCTGTTTCTCTGCAACGGTCATAACGATGGACTGCATGCTGCTCCGGCACCATTGATGCGTCGCAGAGTTAGCGCTTGCCGCTCGTTGGCACAACAATCACACTGACAAAAAATCGGCATTGAAACGCCAAGAACCATCTTGGCCGCTCTCGGCCTGCGATAGTATCTAGATCACCTACGCTCATCTCTGCGATCGCGCCTTTGCATCTTCACGACTGCAACGCGAAACCCTCACAGTGGAGGGACAACTGGCCAAAGAACGACGGTCAGGTGGAGGTGGGTTGCTCCCGGTGACAGTGTCGCCGTTCCAGGCCCCCACCAGGCCATCACATCCCCTCTCCATCCGCTAGCATAGCCTGGGTTCAGTGGGTTGCCATGTCCACCTTGTTGTGGAGTGGGTTCCCTTTCTCGCCGCTCTGAAGAGGCAGTGGGCTCCAGGTCACCCTTCCCCCTCACCCAGTCCGGACGAACTTCCGCCCCGAGGTAGCCAGGCCTTTTCTTGCTGACATTGGCTGTCGTTTCTTCTCCAGCTTGCAAAAATAATACCAACGTCAATTGCGATCCTGGTCGCGGATTGGGGCCGTCCGCGAATTTGCGCTCGAACGAGTCTTGGCCTCCCGCGCGCCTACCTCTAATCCGCTCGGCACGTCGTCCGCTCCCTCTTCGTCTTCATCCATCCAGCCGGCAAGCGACGGGCGAGGGCCATCGGAGCCTAACAAGCCCGCCCCGCCGCCATGTGTCGGCTCGTCGTCTTCAAGGGAACGTGCCCGCACTGCAAAGACGACTTCACGTGGGACGAGCTCACGCAGGAGCTCAGCTGCCTCGAGGCCAAGAACAACGGGTCGTTCGGCATGTGCAAGGAGGGCGCGCTGGTGGACGAGAAGGAGCACGACCAGGAGTGCGACGCGTGCGCGGCCGAGCTCGAGGCCGACGAGGGCTACCATGGCGGTACGGACGACGCAGTCGAGGCGCTCTCGAGGTTTCCCGCCGCGGGCTGGGGTGGTGGCGACGAGAGCGGCAAGACGAAGGAAGCCGCTGACTTGGATCAAGGGAGCGGCAAGCACAAGAACAAGAAGCAGCGCATCTCATGAGCACCGCCTGCTGCCTCTCAGGTCGTCTCTTCCAGTCGAATCCGAGCCGAGAGCCGTTGGTTTCACTCTCGCATCCCCGTTGACCTCCCCCCAGCGGCGCACACATTTCAAGTCGACACGGGATACACTTATATCATACACACACGCACACACAACATCTTGGATAACGGCGGTCTAGTCGTCGTTGGGGATTGCGATACATGTACAAAGACACAACGAGCGGGTAGGAAGTTTGCGCTAGCGTATTCTGCGACTGCCTGCGCCGGTTTGGATCCGAAGTATGCGTACTTCTGTCCCAGGAGGGGGCCATTAAGGCGGGCATTTTTGGTTCAGTATAACGCGCAGGAGAGGCTTTGCCGCAGGGCATGTCCGGACGTTCATATCACGAGGTCATGACGAGACGAGTAACGATAATGATAATGTGGCATCAGCATCACATGGAGGCGGGCACATGGCTGTTGGCGCAGAAACACGACCCCATGTCCGAGTCCAAGTTGGGTATAGATATGAAGCAAGATATCAGCCAAGTACGAACACCAGTTCAACATTCGACGCGCTGTACGACTCCTGGGGTTCCAACATACACTGCTAAAGAGTCTGGCCATCCAATTGTCGCTCCCCGAATATCTCTAACATCTAGCCCAACTCCAACCCCCTTCCACCCCCCTTTCCCTACTCCACCCTGACCCCCTCCCACGTCTCCCTCACAACCCGCCAATATCGCTCCGGATCAGCCCTAGCAAGTGCGACATGCTCCCCGCCCTCAAACCTCTCCCTCCTCACATCAAACCCTTTCGTACTCGCCTCCTCCGCATGCCTTTCCACATCCGCATAGTCCACCAACAGGTCCCGGTCGCCATACACATACGTCCTCCTCACCTCCACCCCCCTTCTTAAGGTCTCCTCATCATTCAGCCCGCGCGCCACCCTCACCAGCGGACCGTCGACCACTCGAAGGGAGTACAGGAACGCGAACCATGCGCAGAGCATGTGCATCAGCGGCGCGATGAGCCACTTCAAGGGGCGCTCTAGGCCGGCCGTGAAGGCGCGGTAGCTGGTGCGGTAGGTAAAAGTGCCCGGCGTCGAGTCCAGGACAAGGGTGTAAGGGGGTAGGCTCGGGGTTACGGTGGCCGTGCTGCTGGTGGTAGTGGACTGGAGGAGGGCGAGGCGGAGATAATGCAGGCAGGTCGTCCCGCCGTTGGACCAGGCTTGCAGGAGCAGCTGCGGCTGTCGCTTCTGCCCGTTGGTTGTTTGTAGCCGTTTTGTGGTGGCGGCGGGGGCGTCGCCTAGCGAGAGCTCTGGGAAGATGGAGCGGACAAAGGCGACGGCGGGAGCGAGTTCGCGCGCGATGCCGCCCGGGCGGAGGAAGTGCCACGGCTCGGAGCGCAGGAGGAGGATCGGGGCGGTGGGGAAGAGGGCTTGGTACGGCGCGAGATACTTTGCGATGTGGGCGTCGCGGGCGCCCATCCATGCGGCGAGGACAATCAGCTTTGGGGTGGGCTTTTGGGTTGTTGAGTCCGTTTCTGGGTGTGACGTCGCTTGGGAGGGCGTCGGCGGTCGGTAAATGTAGACACAAGGCGAGAGCCGTGTCATGGAGCCGAGTGGCCCGCTCCCTTTCGGCGATGTCGCTGAGTTGGACGCCATCGTTGTGATCTGATATTCGCCGCTCCTCAGACCATTAGACATTAGCCCCTCGAGAGCCTGAAGTGCTGGGCCACCCTCCTTTATACACCTGCGCACGACGTCCCGCTGTGAGCGAGGCTGGCACCAGTAGCGTCATCCCCACCCGCCGGTAGCGTCTGCCCGCCAAGGCATGACAGGGTCCAAGATGAGAAATCTCCGAACACCTTTTGGCTGCCTGCTGGCATAATAGGGATAGCCGGGAGTCTTGGCAACACAATGGACGGAAGGAGATAATTGCCTTATTGCAAGAATACCTATTCGTAGAGGATTACTCAACTGACCTTGAAAGCGATTACAAATGGCGCCGGAGGGGGTGGATGGTGGGTACCCGGCCCGATGGCTTGCAGCGGCTGAGCCGAGGCACTTCTTGAAAGGCATCCAGCTTGTTGGGATGAAAGCGGCGAAGTCCAGCTCAACAGCCCCCCGGCGTCTTACATTCAACCGACGGAGTCGGATACCGTCCGGTGGCACGGAGTAACAGTTGCTCTCAGCACGCCCCGACAACGCTGCCGATGTACTGAGCCCATCATGTAGCAGCAGTCCAAGTCATTGAGGCAAACAAGGCACCGGGAGCTCGTGTGCATATTCTGATGCCCAACAGACTATCGAGTGTGGTCTCGAGTTAACACGGAGACTAAGAAATGGTCAACTTGACTACCGTCCCAATGCTACCCGATTGTCATATTGTACACAATGCCTGGTGTCCATCACCAGGTAGCACCCAGCTCCTCAAGTCCCAGATTGACCACAGCAGAGACCGAACGTATCAGACGGTGAGCATCAACGTTGGGGCCGAATATACCTGTTCTGGTGTCCAGAGGAAGAACCAGATGATGTGCAGTCAAACCCGCATTCTGATCGCTTCCGGCCAATGAACGAAAGCCTGGGCCAGATTCAGGTGGTTGTCATGATCCTGTAGAACAGTTTCAGAACCTCATGTCATACCGGGCACAGAATGGCCAGTCATCAATTGCAGTGAATGTCCAATAATGCGCAGCCGCAAAGAGACCATGACCGCAGAGGCGAGGGCGAAAGCATCCTTGAAGAGGCCATAAGAGGCTATGTGAGCGGCGCAGAGATCAATGGTGATGTAAGAGTCGTTTGGCAGATTCAGCAGGGCTCGAAATTCCTTGAAATGGTTGGTTGAGGCACGCCGTCAAGTGCATCAAAAAAGCGAGACATGGCCCACCTTGTAGTCGTCAATACCCCCAGAGGCGAGGCAAGCGCATTTGCATCGTAGTTCGATCAAGCGGCCAATACCAGCCCTGCTCAAGTTGTGCCGTGTGACATGGCGCTGGGCAATCCGGATCCAAGTCGACGCATCCATGGGTCGACGACGATGCAGTGATGTTTGATAGAGTCCGAGGTAGATGCCGCAAATCCACCGATATAAGCCGCAGATGAAAAAAAAAAAAGAAAAAAGAAAAAGAAAACAGCGCGCGGGTACCGGTACAATCATGTAAAAGTCCGAAGACGCTGGAGGTTGCAATAGGCCGGACGAATCTCAAGATATGCCATGCCCTGGTATCATGTAAGGTGTCGTCATGCAGAGTCAAGGCGGAACGTCAAGTCCAGCAATCGAGAATGACGACGGCAGGGTCAAGACGCATCAGACGCATCAACGAGTCGAGCGGGCGCATCAACAACAGCGAGCCTGGGGCAATGGCGACTTCACGAAGTCCCGGGCGGCGGGGCACCACCTTGACCTTGAGCCTGTTGAGCAGCAAGCTGGGATTGCCACCAAAGTGCAATGTAATTTTCGTAGCCGCCGTCTATCATCACGAGTTAGCGTTGGGATGAGCGGGGTTGGCGACCAGGGCATGCTCACATATGGCATACGGATCAGCCTGTCCGCCTGCGCCGGCCGCAGCTGGAGCTGCACCACCGGATGGTATGTTCGTAGGGCCGCTGCTTGTGTTAGAAGGCTGACCATAGCTGGGGTTGTCATAGTCACGGGGCGGGCCACGGCCACGTCCACCGCCGCCGGCAGACTTCTGCCTCTGCAAACTTATCAGTCACACCCATGCCAAACAGGTCCGACCAGCTGATAGACATACCGCAGCGTCAACTTTGTCCTCTATGGCGCGCTTGGCCATCTCGATCGAATCCCGCGTGCCCACAAGGCCAATCTCGCGCTCAACCTCACCAGGGCCTGACGATTGCGACACATTGATCTTGCATCCGGTCATATTCTGCATCTCGCGGATTGTTTCGCCGCCTTTGCCGATGATCATGCCGACAGCATCCGAAGGAACGTAGATGGAATCGTTGACCTTGTCTTGGCCGCCGCCGCCATGGCCGCCGCCACCGTAGTTGTCGTTCCGAGCCCCGCGCGCATTAGCTGGGTTGTTCCCATTCCTGCTGTCGCTATCCACAATCTCGAGAATCAGTTCCTTGGCATGCCGGGCTGCAGCAGGAGTGCCGATAAGGTTGACAGGGCGAAGGCCGTTGACGCTCTTATTCTCGCTCACAATGTTGATGTGACAACCGCTCCGTTCCTGAAGGTCACGGATCGTCTCCCCACCACGGCCGATGATCAAGCCCACGGTTCTATCGGGGACCATGATCTGCAAACTGTCCTCGCCTTCCTTGGGAACGGGGGGAGGGGCGGGACCGCGGCCACCATCGCGGCCACGGTCGCCGCCACCCGGGGGACCGCCGCGCATGCCGCTGTCATGGATGATGTGGTTGATCATCTCTTTCGCCTGCTCGCGCTGTAACCGGGGACCGGTGATCCTGCAGAGCCGCATTTGGTCGCTCTGACCAGTCGGGGGAATGAACTGAATCCGGCAGCGGCTCTCACTCTCAACCCGCCGCAAGTTCTCGCCTTGACGGCCGATGATGAGTCCAACCAAGCTCGCCTCGACCTCAATCGTCTCAGAATTGTCGTCCTTGCCACGCAACGGAGACCGATCCCGGCCACCACTCTGAGCACCGCGAGGGGAGAAGCCCTGGCGACCGCGGGCAGGAGAGTAGGAGCGGTCGCGTCCGTAACCACGATCCTGCGTGCCATGCTCAGCACGCCTCTCGTCCCGATAGGGGTTGACGCTGTCGCGGAATGAATCCCGTCCTCTCGGGCTCTTGGATCGGGCGCGCGGGTAGTGCCTCGAATCGGACTGGCGGGGATCAGGGTAAGGTGCAGTCTGCCGGTCATATGGAGCCACGCCCTTCTCCGCGGCGAAGGCCTTTGCCTTGGCGATGGCGTCGGCGAGTTGAACTGTGCCCGAGTTGACGGGGCGGATCGCGCTGAGATCGATGCTGCCGCTCGCCGCCGGCTGCGGGTAAGGGTAGGCGGGAGCCGGCTGGTACGGAGCCGGTTGTGGCGGATACGGGTTTTGTCCCGGGGGTGCATAGCCTGCGGGCATGGGCATGCCGGGGGTTGTCGCGGGGACGCCAGGGTGGGCCTGAGTAGGCGTCGAAGTCGCCGGTCGCTGGGATGCATCTGACCAAATTGAAAGTTAGTTCGCGGCTCGTCAGGGAATCAGGCCAAACCGTTTAGTCCTCACCACCAAGCATCTTCAAAATTGAATTGATGTCGGGCGCTGGGTTCGCCATTTCTGAGTTGCACTTGCAGATCGCAACCTGAACTTTGGCGAAGCGGTCTGTGTTGAGAGTTGCAGGGCTGCGAAATCGAATCGCTCAAGGGCACACGATATAGTGGGCGCAAGAACAAAATAAGGTAAGCAGCAACGCAAGACTGGTATCCTTATCACCGTCAGTACAAATCCCTTGACAACACGACCATGTCACTCGCATGTCCATCTGGCGTCAGTCACGGACAAAATGCCCGCGCTGTGAGGGGCCGGGTCTAGGACCTACCAATCGTGACGATAAAGAACGCAGAGAACGTCACAAAGAACAGTCGCCGCACTATTCCTGGGGGTGAATCGCAATCGCAATGTGCAGGAGCGACAACCAAAGTGAAGATGCTGCCAGCGACACCAAGTACGCGAAAACTTTGTAGTGGCTTGGAGTCGGTTGCCAGCCTTGCAATTTGCATGCAGTTCCGAGTCTAAAACACACGAATCGAGAAATTGGTGCAAGGTGACAGGATGGTCAGGCGGTGTGTGAAAGGCCCGAGCACACATTCTGGTCACGTGACTGAATTGACCGGTTGAGAGTCCGTGCTTTCTGGCACGTGACATATTGCAGTTCGTCATGCACGCAACTTGCCGTAGATGTCCCCATCCACGCTCGTCCCATTGTGTGCTCTGGTTGAAGCGGAGAGGAACAGCATCGTCCTTGACGCATTCTTTGGAGTCGAGAAGCCTGACCAGATGAGAAGAAAGTTGAGCTCGCATTACTGGGATTGGGATGCAGGCTAATAGCCTGGGAAAGCTGTTGTTTAGTGGTCTCGCTTCTCGTGCAACGCTTGTTCCGCCCTCCTGTTGCTCAAGATGAAGAGGACGGCTACTGCCATCCAAGATTCTGATATTGAAGGCGCTGGAATGGAGCATAGGTCTTGATTACCTGGAACCAGCTAGTGCCCCGACATGAAGGAGGCTCATCGCAGTCGGGGACAAATGGTACTACGTAGGTCTTGCGTACTTACATGAGTGACACTTCCACAGAAGTGCAGGATCTGACAAATATCGGGTCTTCAAGTCACACGCCTGATCTCTACGAACAAACAACTCTAGTGTCTTTGACTGCTGGCTTGGCAGCAGGTACATCAGACGCTAGCTTGAGGAAGGAAGTACAAGACTTCCCGAATCGCCAACGGCAGGATGAGAAGCGGAAGACTCAATGGCTCTTATTAGCGCCGAAGGCTGATGGTGTCTTGGAGGGATCCATTCTGTTTGAATTTAAGCAAGTAGGATGCTTGAATTGAGCTCTTGGAGTTGAAGCATAGCAAATTAAGACGCAGCAGGGCGTCTAAGACCACACCTGGATCCAATCTGAGACAACCTGCCAGATTTGTTTTGCTGCAGGGAGCCTAAGGCGACACTTGTTGTGATACCAGGTGTCACTTGTAACCAAGCAGTAGTTTAACCGATTTCTGCATCAGTGTCTTCCCATTGCCGTGTGACTGCTGAATCGAGGGGGATCAGGAGTTTTACCGACCTTTTACTTCGGGTCTTGAGTTGGGATCTGAAGTGTTTCGGCCTACCCCCTGACCGTCAAATTGAGCTGACTCAATCGGCAGGGGGGAGAACGATTGCAAGAAAAGGGGCACCACATAAGTTATATAAGTTTTGGTTTGAGGTCACCTAGACTACCTTCAAACACCGCTCCAACGATCATGGGTTTTTCAGACAGAAAATTTCATATCAGAGGATGAATTCGGCTCTCTTCCATTTACTACTGGCAACCGACTTTTGGTGGAAGCGGTTGACGGATGTCCGATTCTTTATTTATTAGCCCCTCGTTCCAGCCAAAGTCGGAGCCCTAGCAACAAACATGGCAAGCTCAGGGTGCACAACGGGAGGTTAGTCAAGAGACCTGCGAGTGGAGAAAATCTGACGAAATATTCAACTTCATCAACCTATCGGTGCTCTGTTTCAGAAACTGCCCTCCGCTGTGAGCATTTGATCGTGTGACTCAGAAATCTGCTGCAAACTGCTTTGTACTTTCCCTTTGCGACACAACGGACGTATGCTAGCGGGCTGTTGCCTGTTCCAGTGAAAGTCGGGTACTTCGGTTCTCAAGAAAACATCAGGTCAAGAAGGACCTTCCTTCCTTCCCCTCGGCACTTCAAATGACGGTTGTACTTAACTTGAACTTGGTAGCACCCTCGCACATCGTTTTGCCCCACGCACTTTCACTTGATCCTGTACTTTACAAATTCCCTTGAAATCTTCGGAGTCCACTCTCCAGGTAGACTTTCTGCTCTCCGTTCTCCCGCAACTCAGGACTCCTGCCACTTGTTTTCGCCTCAGTCTCTCCGTAATCACTCATTCCAAGTGTCAGCGACATTGCTGGCCACATTCCGCGATCCCACAACAATCCTACCCTTCCGAGATCGTGCAGTTGAGGTCAGTTCAAGATGGTCAACACTGCATCAGTTCTCTGCTTTGCCGTCGCCGCAGCCTCTGCGGTGACCGCGGCAATCACCCAACGCCATGCTGAAGCGCTGAAAGAAGCGCCGCCCGGCATCACCTACAGAATTCCCAAAACCACCAATTCATGGTCCTCGAGGAAGGTTACCAAGGCAAGCCAGCATGTCCAGCAGTTGCACCCGGTGCAGTCAGGCCACGGTAGAAAAACCAACCCCAGGTCTGCCGCGGCCGTTCTCGGTGCCCACCAGCGCCTCGTTGGAGGCTTCGGCTATGAAAACATCTCGTCGACGTCTGCATATGGCACCCAGTATGCCATCGAGGCTCGTTTCAATCAGCACCCCATGGCTCTCATAATCGACACCGGAAGCTCGGATACCTGGGCCGTCCAGAAGGACTTCCACTGCATCGACTACTCGGGCGAGCGCCTCCCCCGGGAGACGTGTGGCTTTGGCGGAACGTACCCTGAGCAGTTCCAATATGGTCTGACGGATCCGGAGACGCACATGTTCATTCAGTATGGTGACGGTGAGATTGTGACTGGTCCCATGGGCTTCATGGACGTCTCCATCGGCAACGTCACGGTCAAGAAGCAGCAAGTCTGCCTGGCGAGCACCACGTACTGGTACGGCAACAACTACACCAGCGGCCTTTTGGGCCTTGCGTTCCCTTCTCTCACCAATGCCTACCTCGGCGGCAGCACGGATCACGACCTCGGCAACCAAATCCAGTACTCGCCTCTTTTCACTAGCATGGTGAACCAGGGCCTTGTCGATCCCGTCTTCAGCATTGCCATTGATCGCAATGCATCCACCGGCATGCTCGCCTTTGGCGGAATCGCTCCAGTCAGCGGTGTGGACATGAGCAGGAGTGCCACCTTGGACATGATCATTGTGAGTTGTTGTGGCTGTTGGGCACCGAACCAGCTAACTGACGACGTGACAGACCGACATCATCGCCCTCCCTGAAACGGCTTCGCAGTACTCCTTCTACACTGTGATTCCCGACGGCTGGTACTTTGACCAGACGACGAATACCAAGAAAATCCCGTACATTGTTGACAGCGGAACGACGCTCAACTATCTTCCATCGTGTAAGTGCATTCGCCCTTGGGGTCTCCCGGCCATCGGGCCGCAAAGCTGACCATGTTCTTCCTGCGCAGACCTGGCGGATGCCATCAACGCAGCCTTCGACCCGCCCGCCGTTTACATGTGGATGTACGGCGGGTATTTCACGTCGTGCGACGCCACGGTCCCGCAGGTGGCTTTGCTGATGGATGGCGTCAAGTTCAACATCAGCCCTGTCGACTTGCTCTACCGGGCGTTGGTAGATCCGATGACTGGGCTCTGTATGACTGCCATTACGGATGGAGGATCCGGTCCCTACATTCTGGGCGATGCGTTTATGCAGAACGCCTTGGTTGTCTTTGACGTTGGCCAGGCCAAGATGCAGTTCATTCCTCGGCAGCACTACTGAGCGTGTATTGGGCTGCTTCGCCGCACTGCCATCGGATCTCGCTGTGTTTCATGCTTTTAAGGACAACATTTGCGGTGAAGGCGGCGGGTTCAGAGAAATATCTGTATGATCTGTCGATCTGGATCGATGCTAGAGGGGGATAACTGTGTGTTAGCTTGAAATCTGGACTGAAATGGCATCTTCTTCGTGGTCTTACTTTCTGGTCTTAGCTGGTGCAAATGGCCCGATCTGCTTGACTCGAAAGATGTCTCTTAGAGCGTACCCGATCTCGCTCAGCCGGACATTCGTGTCTGTTATTGGCGTTCAGCTTGTTTGGCCATGTTATGGCTTGGAACTGAAATGGGCATGGCTCAGGCCCCGTCGCCCCCAACCCGCAGTTGAAGTGTATGTGGCATGCAAGCCTTGCCGTCGATGCTCTGAAACCTCTCTGAGTGTCTGTTTCCCTCAGACAACTCACGAAAGAAACTTAGCTATATTTGGATAGAGGTAGAGAGCAGCCAGTCCTTTTTTGGGGGCCCGAGGTAGGGGAAGCTCGAATCCTGAAGCATGCTGCCCATCCATAAAAAGGCCTGCCATTTCAGCCATAACACTGTGATATGTGGGATGCTTCCTGGAGAACCCTGTTGATTTCGTACAGGAATCTCGGTGCTGCAACCCGAAGAGCCGCTTCTTTTCCCCTTTTGCCATTGCTTTTAATAACCCATTTCCGTCCACTTGTTTATCTTAATTATTTGAGAGCGCGAAGGGTCCCAGGCCCCAATGCCAGACCAACAAGCGCCGGGCGCCTTAACCGTAAAAACGCCAGACACTTGGAATAAGTAGTTGCCCGCCTCGGAAACTGCTGTCGTGCCCATGCCCGTCTTCCTTTTGGAAAGGTACGGTAAGGTAATGTAATGTATGCAGTGCGCTGGATTCGCTGATCCTCAACCGATCCGCTGGATGTACGCAAAAGAACGACCCCAACCCGACGTCTAAATAAGGTAGTGCTAAAACAAGAATCCAATTCCCGATAACCCGTACTGAAAGGCCAAACCCTTCGTGTTTTGAAACGGGCTCGCTCAAATGCCGCCCTCTGGGGCGGGGTCCTCGTGCTTAGCGGTGCTGCCCTTGCCGCGCCAGGTGCTGACGGCCTTGATATTGGCGCGGTAGGTCTGCATTTCGGTGCCGTAGGCGCGGGGCGTCAGCTTGATGAGGGTGTGCAGCGGCACGGGCACCCAGGGGCTTTCCTCTTGGGTCTTTTGCATAAAGTAGGCGTAGATGCAGCGGATGACGGCCTGGTGCGAGATGATGAGAATGTCCTCACTGCGCTCGAGTTCCATGATGATGGGCTCGAGGCGGATGACGACGTCACGGTAGCTCTCGCCGCCGCGGTACCGGTAGTTGTACTTGTCCTCGTCGCGCGCCTGAAAATCTTCGGGGTACTGGTCCGCGATCTCTTGGTAGGTCATGCCGTCACATACGCCGGCGTCGAGCTCGTCGAGGGCTTTCCATTGGAGTTGGTTGTAGTGCTTCGGCAGGTGGCGGGCTGTCGCGATGGTTCGTTTTAGGGTCGAGGTCCAGACCGTTAATGGTCGGTCGCTCTGTTCCCGGCGTTAGTTGAGCCGATGCAGGCGAACGCCACATTGCGTGTTAAGTCAAGTCCCGCCTTGGCGCACGGGAACGACGACTTTGGCGGGCGGCCACTTACACCAACGGATTCCCGAACGAGTTCGGGGAGCTTGAGTGCATACTCTTCCCCGCGATGCGAGAGCGGTGCATCGCCGCCAATGCGCCCTTCCAGGTTGAGCATAGACTCTCCGTGCTGGAGAAGAATTAGCTGTTGGACGGAAATTTTGGAATGCCAGTGGCATTGTACTTACCCGAGACAGCCAGACGGAACGCGGGCGGATGTGCAAGTTCATGAGGAAATAGACGACGCGGCTCTGCAGGTAGTCCTGGATGCGGTTGATGAAGACCTTTTTGCCGACGTTCATGATCTTGAGGTACGTCAAGTGATCCTCGTCGCCATCGTCGTTGATCGACTTGTACACCTTCTCGTAATTGCGGATGCGCTCGCGGAAGTCTAAGGCGGCTTTTTCCGGGTCCTGGCCGACGTAGTCGGGGGAGGTGGTCTTAACGTCGCGGATGTTGGCCATGATGAGGTTCTCGTCGTCGCACCTGGACTCGACAAAGAGCACCTCAATCCCCTTGCTGGCGACCCGCTCGAGCACCCATCTCCTGCGTTCTTTTGTGCTGTTGGTTGCATCGAGGATGCCCACGACGCCGCCGCTCTTGAACCACTTGAGCATGTCTGACACGGCGGCCTCGGCGGCGGCGCGGCGCTTGCGCTCGCCCTCGGCATTGTTAGTGTCGAAGAAGTCGGCCGAGGGATGGGGCGCGTTCTCGCGGCGGTAGTTGCCCACGTTGAAGGTCGCTGCCGGGATGGAGAGCCACTTGAGGTACCGCTGGGCTGAGCATGACGAAGTTCTGGTCAGTACACGGCGGAGCGCAAACTGCAAAGTCTCCTCACCTCTCTGAGCAATGTAACTCTTGCCCCGGGCGGGCAGTCCCACCATGACGACGCAGATGCGCGTGTCCTCGGGCATGATGCCGACGCCGTTAATCTTTGGAGCCATCTCTGCTAAGCAATTGCCGTTGCAGCAACGATCTGGAGGCCGAAGAGGACAAGCTGGGTGAGCGAGACATGTAGCAGCTTGATTGGATCTTGAAGGGTGTGCAAATGTTGTTAGAGCTGACTAGGCGGGCGAGTCCGGGCGGCTGATCGCGTGAGCTATTCGTGGGGACGATGACGGGGCGCTGGTCCTGAAGGTGTGGAGGTCGCTCTTTCCCGGCTGCGACGTCACCCTGCACCTTGCCGTGCTCGGTGTGTAAGGCACAGTTAACGGAGGGGGAAAGTGAGATTCAAGCAGGAAATCGTCAATTGACGGCTAATAAGGCGAGCGGATGGTCGTGCTGCAGCAGAAGACGAATTGTACTCCGGACAGTACAGTATCATCCACGGACATCGCATCGGGATTCTCAGGGCAGAAGGAAGCTCCCAAGGCTCGCGGGCCAAGAGGTCAACAGGGCTCATCCCCGCCGCACCAAGATGTGGTGGGTCCCATCTCCTTCCAGGCCAACAGTTCCAGGCCCGAAACTCTCACGCCTGACACACCCATGCGGACCCGAGCCTGAACCCAAACAGTGGGGTGCCGGAGATGCAATGCCGGCGTGATGCGATGGTTTTTTTTCGCTTTTCACTTTCCAGTCAGGGCAACTCAGACCGCCACCTCATCCTCGGGCAAAAGCCAGCCGACGACAGCCTTTTCCTCACTTTTACTTACCTGGTATTTATCCGCTACACTGACGGTTCGTGTTCAATCATCAGATTTTCCCCACTGATATTCCTAGTTGAAATGAAGTTGGAGACCTGCACGAACTTGCCTTCCACCTCGCCAGCGCTGAGTGTGCGCATTGCCGGCTGAAATCGGAAAGCACCTGAATGTTAATGTTAGCCGCGGAAGCGTGCAACGAATCAAGAGTCTCGACAGTCGTTCCGAACTCCATTTCTCCGTCAGGCGTCAACCTCGACAAATGCCAAGCCGGTCGAGCGAGCCTTGAGCTCATGTGACCAACAGAGGCTCTGGTGGTATTTCTTTGTTTTGGAAGAGTGGGAGTGGGGGTGGAATTGTCAACCGTCGGGACGCCCCGTCCGGCAGCCAAGCAGCAAAGGATGGATCTCATTTCGTTCCACTGCCCCAGCTTTGCAGCACAAGACTCCAGTATGATGAGAACCTATAGGGAGAGAAAGGGGGATACCGAAACCCAGTTCAGTCCGTACCATCAACCTCTGAACGTCGACCTGAACACCCAAGCCATACTCTAAACCGAGGGCACTTGAGCCACTCGGGACCTCATGAGCCACTGATGATTTCAAGAGCAGTTCATTGGGGGCAGCTGGGAGAAAAGAGTCATCGAATGCTATTGTTGACGTATCCCCAATCGTCTCGGCCCTCGTGCCCTCATATATCCGTCGACACGCACTTCGTCCACGTCAATGGCCAACCAACCAAGCACCAGCAGGGTAGCCGTGCTCCAAGTGCAGCGCCCTCTGCCCTCTCAGCAAATATCAAACGTGGGGAGGCCCGCTCCGGCATACGTGAAGCCGGCGTCCCACTGCGGCGCCTCGTCACCCACAATGGTGCCAGCCTGTCCGTTCTCGACACACAGCGCGTCGACCGTGTCGAGCTGGCTGCCGATGAACAGGGTCGAGGTAGTTAGCTCCTCACACACCGAGCAGAAGAAGCCCTGGCACGTCCCCAACTCAAAGACAAGGCACGAGTTGGCCGCAATGATGAACGCCCCGTCGGTGGACAGCAATTGGCTGACGATGGCCTTGCAGTCGGCTGTGGACAGGCTTGGGTTCTGCCCCGGTGCAAACACGTCAGTCAGTCTCTCTCTCCATGGAGGAGCGCAGTAGAGGTGGGTTGCTGGGGTTTTCGTTCAAGCAGGAAACGCCCTTACCGACTTGGTGCACTCAAAGAAGTTGCCGGCTTCGGGTTCGGACTGCCTGGGCAGGTTCTTAGGGGTTTGAACGCTCCCGCTGCGCTGTTCCAGCCCCGACACTTTGACGAGCGAGGCCTTGGATTGCTGCAGCGTTGGCGTGCTGATCTTAACCCTCAAGGCCCGCTTGGTTGGACGCTCTGCGCGTCGGTGGAGTCCGGCCGACTCAAGAGCCGTGGCGGTGCCGAGGAGGAAGGTGAGAAGGGTAACGAGCTTCATCGTCGTCGTCGTGTTTGATGAAGAGGGATGCTGATTTTTGTACTTTGGCCTGTTCAGTCGTTGCTACAGCTACTGTTGGAAACCTGGCGGAGCAGACAATCACTGTCCTTTTATGTAATTTCCTCCGCTTCCACCTTCCCTCCTGGGTCATCACCAGATGCCGTGCTAGCACGGCCCGTAGATTGCCATAAGCCGAGGCACTTCGACTTGCCTCATCCTTCTCCAAGTGGAAGTAACGCCGGATCGCACGCTGGAAGGGAGGACTTCGGAGTCACCAAGGAATGGATGACGGCTGGCCCTGGACATTCTCCTCGGGCAGGGCTGGTATGCAGCTTCATGCTGCCTTGCCATCCGACCCTCTGCCAATGAAGCGCAGCCCGTGACGCCCACGATACTACATGGCTCGGGTTGAGCCGTGTCCGTGCCTCAGAGGACCAAATACCGCCGAAGTTTGGAGAAGGGGCTTGTCATGCTGGAGCTCCCGACCCAAGAATTGGAGGGCGAGGAGGCATCGAGAGAACCTCCCTCATGACGATCTGCCACCAACCGTAAGAGCGCCGGGCTGTGTTTCATGGTGAACCTCTTGACAAGGAGTATCTTTTGGCGGAACCGCTCACCGGAGGCCAAACCACCCTCACGTTCTTCATCCGGCAACAAGAAGCCCCGAGTAGCCGTTCAACAGTAAAAGAATCGCGAAAGCCATGATAGAACCATGAAGTGAAGTCAACCTGATATCATGCTATTTTTAGCTATTGGCATATGAGCAGGAATCGTAAGAGACGGATGCAGACGCAGCGTCGTCAGGTTGGATGGCTCTGGCTGCGCATCATGGCATCGCTTCCGGCTGCGGGAGGAAGCGAGCGCGGAGCCGGACCCGGCTCAGAGGGTCGGAAATGACCAGCCGAATAGTCCGGGGATGAGGGCTGCCTACGCGGCGGGAGGTGCATCGATACCACATCAGGCAAGGCAGCTTCTCAAAGAAGTTGAGCTGACCACTTGCGGGAACGTCGGGGACGGCAGGAAATTGATTGGCACCACAACAAACCCGGACCGTGGGTTCAAGGACCCCCAAGAGGAACGCGCCTCTGCGACATGATGGCGAAGATTGACTCCGGTAAGCCTAGGGCATGTGGTTGGGAATGTAACATCGAGAGGGCGGGAATGGTAATCAGCGAAGGACTCGCGGGATTCGGGTCAGGACACGAGCAGCGGAACCCGCCAAGCCTTATTAGGCTTGCAGTCCTCATTCCCTTCAACGGGCTCAGATTCGGCAGTTGATGGACGCGTCGCCACAGTAGGGTAGTGATTTGAAGTGCCTAGCTCTAAGTGTCCGTTTCAGAGAGCTCGGGGCGGTTCGAGAACATTGCTTTCCAGGGCAGTTGAAGACCTGGGCCCGTCCCTTCGCGTCGTTGAAAGATGTTGGCGGCAGTTGACTGCAGTCGAGGTTGTTGCTGGCCGTTTCGGCTCCAGTCGGGTCGCCGCGGCCCGGGCCGGAAAACGGAGAGGACAGCCCCACCGGAAAACGGAATAACATTTTGCCGGAACTACACACCTTTTGCCCGCCAAGACCAACAGGCCATCTCAGTCCCGCCTCCACCCTAGTTCCAACCGCCGCCTTATCAGCCGCCCGATAAGCAAGCAAGCTCGAAAAAAAATCCGCTGGCGCATTCGCATTCCGACACAGCAACCGACACAATCATCCACGATGGCCGCCGATCTCAGCAAGAAGAGGAAATTCAAGGATGGCAAGGGTTCAAAATCTGAGTCCCTTGCCGCGGCCCCTTCGAACGCTAAAAAGCTAAAGAGAGACCCAACCCCGGAAGTGAGCGACGCTGAAAGCGACAGTAGCAGCGATAGCGGCCAAGAGATCGACGACAAGGAGTCCGAAGCTGAAGATGACCGCTCGGAGGAGCACGGCTCGGAGGACAAAGATTTTGAGGACGAGGAGGCGCAACAAGACAAAGACAGTCCCAAGACACAGGACGGGTTGGCGGAATTGGAAGATCTCCCAACGGACAACGGCTCACTTCTCGCTCCGCCCTTGTCGACCGGCGCCCAGTCATTCTCCGAGCTCAATCTTTCCGAAAAAACCATGAAGGCGATTGAGGAAATGGGTTTCACCAAGATGACCGAGATTCAACGGCGAGGCATCCCCCCCCTTCTCGCAGGCAAGGACGTGCTGGGGGCAGCCAAGACAGGTTCGGGAAAGACGCTTGCCTTCCTCATCCCGGCTATCGAGATGCTCAGTTCGTTGCGGTTCAAGCCGCGGAACGGCACCGGCGCTATCGTTGTCACACCCACGCGCGAGCTAGCTCTGCAGATCTTTGGCGTTGCGAGAGAGCTGATGAAAAACCACTCACAAACCTGTACGTACAATTTGTGCCTGCCTTTCACGCTTGTGACGCACCGCCTTGGAATTGGCACTGACTGACTGGCTAGACGGGGTGGTTATCGGAGGAGCAAACCGAAGAGCTGAGGCCGAGAAGCTGGGAAAGGGAGTCAACCTTCTCATTGCCACGCCCGGCCGCCTGCTTGATCGTGAGTTTGGTCAGCCCCTCCCACGTTTGCTTGACCAAGACTTACAGGACGTGCCGCAGATCTCCAGAACACCCCTTTCGTCTTCAAGAATCTCAAGTCCCTGATCATTGACGAGGCTGACCGGATATTGGAGATCGGGTTCGAAGACGAGATGCGCCAGATCGTCAAGATCCTGCCCAAGGACGAGCGTCAAACCATGCTGTTTTCCGCCACCCAGACGACAAAGGTCGAGGATCTCGCCAGGATCTCGCTCCGTCCCGGGCCGCTCTACATCAACGTTGACGAAGAGAAACAGTTCAGCACGGTCGAAGGCCTAGACCAGGGATACGTGGTCGTCGACGCCGATAAGCGCTTCCTCCTGCTCTTCTCGTTCCTGAAGAAGATGGCCAAGAAGAAGATCATTGTCTTCTTCTCTTCCTGCAACTCGGTCAAGTACTACAGTGAGCTTCTCCAGTATATTGATCTGCAGGTGCTCGACCTCCATGGCAAGCAGAAGCAGCAAAAGAGAACCAACACGTTTTTCGAGTTCTGCAACGCCAAGCAGGGCACGCTGATATGCACCGACGTGGCTGCCCGTGGCCTCGATATCCCAGCAGTGGACTGGATCGTCCAGTTCGACCCGCCAGATGACCCCCGAGATTACATCCACCGGGTCGGCCGGACGGCAAGAGGCAACAACTCCAAGGGCCGCTCCCTGCTGTTCTTGCAGCCGAGCGAGCTTGGCTTCCTGGCCCATCTCAAGGCCGCCAAGGTGCCGGTGGTCGAGTACGACTTCCCCAAGAACAAGATCCTCAACGTGCAGTCCCAGCTCGAAAAGCTCATTGGGAGCAACTACTACTTGAACCAGAGCGCCAAGGACGGGTACCGTTCTTACATCCATGCCTACGCCTCCCACAGCCTCCGGAGTGTCTTTGATATCCACAAGCTTGACCTGGTCAAGGTGGCCAAGGTAAGAAAGAATGCTGCAAAACTACAGGCGCTTGCCACGGAACGCAGACTAACCACGGTCACAGAGCTTCGGATTCTCTACGCCACCCAGGGTCGACATCACCCTGGCGGCCGGGATGAGCAGGGACAAGAAGTCCCAGGGCAGAAGGGCGTACGGGAGTCAACCAAGGCAGGGGGGACATCACCGCAAGTGATTTGCGCGTGTAATTGACAGGTTAGGAGTACGACTTGCCGCCGGTTCCCTATTGCACAACGTTTTGTTATGGAGTTCCGGCGTCGAAAGAAAGGGAAGGAATTGCATACTCTGTGGTGAACGGCTGCATTACTGAGCTGAGTAGATAGATATCTCTTTGCTAGTCAGACCGTCTAGGTATTCCACTGCATTTCATGAGACTTATTGCCATGCTTGTACCACTGGCTCTCGTCAGAAGTTTAGCCCGAATCTTACTCGCCTGTCTTCTTCTGCACCAGTTCTTAAGTTTCCGGGCCAGTCCACCCCGCGTGAGCAGTGAGTGGGCGACATCAAATGACATTTAATTATTATTATTCCTACACCGCTGTGCCCTAGGGCGTGCATGACATTTAATTAGTTGGTTGCTAGATACCACTTCGAGCTAAAAGCATACTTGAGATCATGAATCAAACCTTCGATCCCATTACTCTTCTTGCATGTTTCCAGCCTGGGTTTGTGTGAAATCTCGGCCAAAGTATGGTGACGGTACTTCCGTCCTGCATGCCAGGGAAAGATGAGATTGACCTAGCGATGAAAGACAGGAAGGAGGATCACCATGGGTCCCGTCAGCGCGACATACTGCTCAGTCGAGACCGTTTTGTGCCTCCCTGTATTGAAGCCCATGTCTATGAAGAATATCGAGTCCGAAATCCTGGAAGAGAACGAAGTAGGTGAGGGTTTCAAGGAAGATAGCCCCGGTAACCCGCTTGAGAGCTTCCAAGGTCGTCTCGGCCTCCTGGGCCAGTTTGAGGAGGTAGCGGTATAGGGCGCCTCCGCCGTTTATCATTGTATACGCCTTGTGATGGATGTAGAGAAAGGCGCTTTTGCAGGTGCCTGCTCGATTGTTGACCACTCTGAGACGCATCGGGCGGACTTCGTCGGTTCATCGTGCCAGTTGCCGTCAACTGCTTTCCGCATGACCGCACTCACGGCACGCCAGTGGTTGTTCAAGTCAGCGGGCAGAGACATCAGGTCGGGTTGCTCGAGAACTGGTGTCTCCTCCAGCGATGGGGTGGTAGATTTGCCCTTACGGTGGCTGTGATACGGACGATGGTGCGCGAGGCGCGTGCCATGGTCTGTCAAGAAACGAGCTTCCCGAGAGCTTCCAGATTGCGCAAATCTTGTTGTCAGACTTTGCCGAGCTCGTTGACCTTGGCTGTCTCGGTGACTACTCCCCAGCAGGGGTTGATTCCGGACGCCGGAGGCATAGAAGTAGACGCCGCCAACCGGGCGCTTAACCATTTTGGAGCGTTGGAGGGACAGAGGCTTGCCAGCCACCACGGTGTTTGTGAGGAAGCTCCCATCGCGAAGGCCGGTCAGGATCAGTTTGACGACTTCGCGATTCTCCTTCTGCTGCAGCCGCACGCGGAAATGAAATTTATTGTTTCGACTTTGAAGAGAAGGTAAGGCGCGTCATACTGCGGAGCGTTTGGGCTGGTATCCATGGCGGCGTGAGCGATCAGATAGTGGTTTAGGGATTCGATCTGGTGTTTATCGCACCCCGCGAACTGAGGACAACTAAATGGCTTGCATGGAGCCTTTATTCCATATCCGCTACTCTCAGGTCTATTTTCATTGGGCTTAGTAGGACCTTGTATCAGAGGCTGGAAGATCCCGTCCGTATACGGCAAGCCGATGCACGCGCATCAGGGCTTAGCTCCCCAAATGTGTGCGATCATTGCGATGCCGGTTGTGGGATTGTCCATCAGCGCATTCGCTCAGATGCCAAACTCTGGTCACTGCATCATGGCGCCGCACATCGGAATCCCGGACGAAAGTTGCTTTTGGCTGACACTGGCTCGGGATGACGGCCACCTTGACCAACCACTTGCCCGATGTTTGACGCCAAGGACTGGAAAGCCATGATGGTGCAAATGGCAGAAATGAGGGCATCAGTCAGGAGCGGATATTGCGGCGTCAGGCTGAACTCCATGTGTTAAGTCGACGATAAGCTATCGATGATTTCTTGACCGGACAGAGCTCATCGGTCGAGCTCGAAGGTTCCAACGATGAGGTGGGACATAGATCGGTGCAGATATTTTTGCTATATAGGGCATAGCTGTGATACACGTAAATATCAGTCACTTTGGCGGAGTGGTTAACGCGCTGCCCTGCTAATCAACAGTTAGCTTTCTAGGCAGTTCCTTCGGGAGCGTAGGTTCGAATCCTACAGGTGACGATAGCTTTTGCCCATAATCTATGGGCAATATTATGTAACTGTGGCTCCGTCGAGGGGTCCCAAGCTCCCCAAGTTATGGGCTGGCCATCTTGGGTAAATCTGGACCAAAGTCAATTTTTTATTGCTTCACTTGTTGCTGGGGCAGCAAGCCTACACTGGATTACTACTGTACGCAGCTCAATCAATAGCCAGGAAATTCTTGACTTCAGCCACAGCCACCTTTGCAGCATCAACCGTGTTGTCGGTCTGGTTCTTGTCCCTGTTTAAGCTGAGCATAACTCTCCCAAAATATGTCCCAGCCAGCGTCATGAACCTCGGCTTGAAAGTCAAGGTCATCATCGGAGCACCGTCGGGGCTCGTAACTGAGGACACGATTTAGGGTTGAAGTCGATGCAGCAAAGAGTGTCCGTCACATATTACCAGTTTGCATATAAATAAGGACAGCCGGAAGTCGGCACTGCTTAGCGGATATTACACTATATATTATTCTTCCTACACCGCTGTGCCCTAGGGCGTGCCGGACCTTCAACAACTTACTATACAGGAAAACCGCGCCCTCGTGGGCCGGGTGAAAAACCCATATCGACA